AGGTGTCTGTGACTGAAAACTAAACCAGCTGAGTATCACTGTGAAATAGTATTTGAGGACACTGTATCTTTCTTACAAATCTTAAGTAGGTGAATAATATGCCTTGTCTAAATAAAACTGTATTATCCCAATTTCTGCAGAGCAGAGATGTTCATGTTCCTGTACATATCCAATCTGTTGATTCAGTGAACCGTGAGGTTAACACTTTCCTCCTGTGCAAACACAGGTTGGAGCTACATTACTCTTTCATTCTCTTCACAGCCATCACTAACTCCTTGTTGAATGTTGGTAGTTGTGGAACAGTGGGAGAGAACTCCCCCAATCCCATATGAAGGGTGCTGGCAGCTGGCATTAACACTGAGGTTACCGGTGATATCTACACTGAGGTTACTGGTGTTACTGGACATACAGGTGGATCTACATTCCTCTTTCTTTCTCTTCATAGCCATCACTAACTCCTTGTTGGATATTGTTAGTTGGAGTTCTTCTTGTAGAACAGTGGGAGAGAATTCCTCCAGTCCCATGTGAAGGGTGCTGGCAGCTGGCATTAACATTGAGGTTCCTGGTGATACCTGCACTGAGGTTACTGGTGTTACTGGGTATTCAAGTCATGGAATCCCCCATGACTTGAGGTGTGGATGTATTTGTGTTTTTATTGGTTTCTGATGCTTTGGAATTAGTTCCATGGGTTAGAGAAATGAATGAATGAAGAGAAATAAATGAGCTTAGAGAAACGTAGCAGGAGCTTTGTGTGCATTTGAGTTACCTGAAGTATGCCATTAGGAAGCATGAATTGTTGGCAGCAGCCCTCCAGGATTCCCTAGGATTACTCTGGAAGGTGGCTGAATTCTCTTGTCACAGCATGTGTGCTATTTGAGACCTTCCAAAGCATTAAGTCAGTGGGCAAGAGAACATGAGTAGTGAGCACTAGGAGTACTCCTTTCCAGCATGGGAACATTGTGCTTTGGTTCTTAATACTGACTTTGTGGAAGTTTGCAAATGCCTTTTGAATTGCTGCAGACTACAAAAACCCCACCTTGAATATCTCTTTGTGGTGGTATGTCTTGGTATTTGTTATGTCTGTCTGTCTTAGGATCAAAGTTTTCCTTTGGTAACCTGTGGTAGATAAAGACAACCTCTTCTCTCCCCTATGAAATGACTATTTCAAGCTGACTGGGGAAGATCTTTCCAACTTCCAAGTCCAATTACCTGCCGAGTTGGCTTCTGTTTTGTGCTATCACAACAGCAGCTTGTGTAGTCACTGGCTGGGTTCCTGCAGCTCAAGTCAAGTTTTCCTGCTGCTACTGGAGAAGAGCAAAATGCAGCCATACAAATAATTATTAGGTTAGGGAGAAAGCTGCAATTTGTGCTTTGAGTGACGAGAGAAAATGAAAGTATAGGATTCCTGTGATTAGTTATCTGCTGCAGATATTGTATTGCATCTGCCTTGACATACTGCGAATTTGGAGTAAAAAGACTAAAATCCTTTTGGCACTGACAGCTTTAGAGCTCAGCTGCTGTCAGGAGGATACTGTGTGTGTCAGTGGCTTCTCTCTTTCCTATTGGGCTTATTTATGGTCTAATCAGCTCGTGGAGCACTAATTTGTTTTGAAGTAACTTAATCACAGAGGCATCTCGAGAGTCCTGGCTTGTGCAGGGGCAGCTCCTTCTTGGCTCGTCACACTGAATCTGCTTGAATAATAGTTTCCTTGGTGTAATGTCCTTTGCTTCTATTAAATGAGCATCACCTTAACATGCTAACTCCCTGCCCCTGTGTCCTTGCAAATAGCAGGGAATGGTCAGACAGAAGAAAAAATGGTCAGACCAGTTTCACTAGCAATACTTCATAAATAACAACCATTCCTTGATTTGAAGCTCTCCTCCCTGAGCTTTTGAGACCTATTGAGCAGAATGGATGTCAGAGGTTTTGGAAAATTATTTTACAGTGTTTTCTAACAAAACCCAGATGTTTGGTGAAGGAAAGGGAATTAAAAATTGCTGAGGACTACAACAATTATTTTTTTATGACTTAACATTGCTTTTTGTTTTCATGCTC